GTTTAGGGTTTAGGGTTTATACTTTGCCCTCCCGAACTTGGCGAATCGTGCTGGCGCTCCAGAAGTCCTGAACTCTAAAGCTTGAACACGAAATAAGCTATGTGGACTCTATCAGCCCTAAACCCTAAACTCGTTCAGCCCTAGATTCTAAAGCCCCCCTAAATCCTGCTACTCCGGCAATGTTCTTCGGAGCCGCACGGCTTCTCCAGGAAAATGGCGCTGGGACTACAATATTCGGGGTTCAGGATGTCGGGTTCAGGGTTTAGGATTTGGGATTTAGGGGTTTAGGGTTTAGGATTTAGGCATTAGGGGGTTTCGGGTTTAGGGTAGGGTGAGGGATTTAGGGTTCAGGATTGAGGATGTGGGTTTACAGTTATGCTTCTAGGGTGTCCGATTTAAGGCTTTGGGTCTGGTCCGAGCGACTGATCGGTTTCATGGTCTAGGATTGTGAAGTTATGGTTCACAGAGTCAGGATTCACAGTATACCTTAAGCTAGCATAGCTGGCTTTCTTGCAGGGTCCCTATGAATGCAAGATCAGGGCCAAGGAACAGAACCTACAAATCTACAACCAAGCAGTTATGGTAGCTTACCCTAAACCTTGAACCAGAAACCCGCAAGATATAGCAGTTGTAGACACAAACTGCCCCTAAACCCTGAAACTCATAATGAACTTCCTCAACTTGCAAGATTTGACCCAAACCCTAAACCCTAAACAGCTTGAAGCAGGACGCGATCTCCAGGCAAAGGAAGCAGAGCCAGACGATCAGCGGACTGTAGTACCGCCTAAGAATACTGAGAAGGCATTGTTAAGAGTTTTATAGTGTTTGGGTTAAGGGCTAAGGGTTTCAGGGTTAAGGGTTTAGGGTCAGAGGCCTGAATGAGAATATCGAATACATAGAGTGTTAGCATATCATGGTAAAGCCACAGTAAGTGACGTTATGGGACAAAGTTGATAACCGTTCAGGTTTCTTATCTGAGGTTTAGACAATTTAAGGTCTTAGCGTTACAGGTCAAAGGGCTTAAGGTACAGGCCTATGGCATTCTTTGGACCGACCCCTGCTACTATCACCCTTGCCATCTGCTCTGCTGCTACCGAAACACCAAAGCCCCGGAACCCAAACGCCGGCAATAAGACCCTAGACCCGAAACCTCAAAAGAATAAGACAAGAAGCCCCAAACCCTCAAGGTCTTTGCTGAGCTAAAGGCAGTCGTTCGCACATCTTGCTTCGGTGTTCCATCTGCTGGCGAAGGTTCTGAAGGTCCTGCCGAGACATTAATTCATGAAGGGCTCCATATTCTGTGATTAAGGTTGTCTTGTTAATTGATGAACAGTGGGCATTGAAACCAATTAGGGGTTACATAATCTGTGATTAAGGTTATCTTGTTTATTGATAAATATCGAGCATTGACACCACTTGGGAGGGGGGGGGGGCTCAAAATATGGGTCCCCAGCATGGTACCCTTACAGTTATTGAGGACACCACAGGGGCCCAGACTGCAAGCCCATATCAGACGAAAGCATGCCACAGGAAGCACGCCGATATCCCATACCGGCAGCCTAGGCACACATCTTTGAGCCTGCAAGTCTTCGAGAAATCCTACACCCCGCTACCACCCAACTTGCAACAGGCTCGCATAAAGTGATGACCAGGAGTGCAGGAATCTGAGGTGCAATCTCGTTGTTTTTGCTCTCTTCTCGAATACTAAACGGGCATCCCTGCAACGAATATGAAAGTGCCACTCAGTACAAAACCCCGTTAAATCCTATCAAACCCTTACAAAAACCCTGTATAGAAAAGCCCAAAGGACCATTGGACCACCGGAACAGCACCTAATAAACCTGTATACAAGCCCTAAAGTCTCCCCCTACACCAGTAAACCCTAGACCTTAAACCCCAAAGCCCCAAAATATACCCTCAGGCGCGTACCCTAAACCCTAAACCCTAAACCCTAAATCCTAAATCCTAAACCCTAAACCCTAAACCCTAAATCCTAAACCCTAAACCCGTCTTCCTCGGTGTTGTTTTCGGATTGCATGTCAAGGAGGTGCAGGATGCCTTGGCTGACTTCTGAACCCCTCCTAATTTTAAAAGTTAAACCTTTTTCTGGCCTCCTTATTATAGTTCATATAGAAACCCACAAGGTTAAACCTTTAGCCTCCTGATTATAGTTCATATAGAAGGCCCCCCCCCAAAAAAAAAAAAGTTAAACCCTAAACCCTAAATCCTACGCCCAAAGTCCTACGAGCCAACCCGAAGAACACCAAGATGCTCAGGTCTCCGAACAGCCCCTCGAGCCTGGCTGCTCAGGATTTTTGGATTAGGGGTTTAAGGTCTACGGATTCAGGGTTTAGGGTTTAGGGGTTTAAGGTTTAGGGATTCAGGGTGTAGGGTTTAGGGTTTAGGGTTTAGGGGTTTAAGGTTTGGGGATTCAGGGTTTAGGGTTTAAGGTTTAGGGATTTAAGGTTTGGGGATTCAGGGTTTAGGGTTTAAGGTTTAGGGATTTAGGGTTTGGGGTTTGCATTTAGGGTTTAGAGTTTTGGGTTTAGTGTCTGGGGTTTAGCGGGGTTTGGGGTTTAGGGAGGGTTTAGGGATTCAGGGTTTAGGGATAAGGGATTTAGGGTTTGGGGTTTAGGGTTTAGGGATTCAGGGTTAAGGGTTTGGGGATTCAGGGTTGGGGTTTTGGCAGGAAAGGCAGAGACTTTCACCATCTCCAAAGCAACCCCCCCAAGCATGCAACTACACATGCCAAGATGCAATGGAGCCCTCAAAATAGCGGTATGCCGGGATCCCTGCTTGGTTTCGATCTCCACACCTCTGATGAAATTTCGAGACGAGTCACATCTACAGCTAAGCCCTAAGCACTGAACCGTAACCCACAAACTTTATCGAGGCCCGCGAGAGAGCTCGTTTATATAACAATTAAGAAGGTTTAGGGTTCAGTACTGAAACTACATACCTCTAGTCTCCATTGTAGTTCCTTTTTGGGGATACCTTATAGAATCCTTGATCTATAATTGGTTAA